GCGTGTGTGACGAAGACGATCGATGCGAGACGTTTCGAATGCAGGCTCTGATTATCCGGGATTACAAGCAGCGCGCATCGGCCATCGCGCATTTCGACGCAGGTCCCAAAATACGCAGCCGTGGTTTTTCATTTTCGTCATGTTAATTGATGGCGCGCGTCCGTGCGTGGTCGAGCCGCGCTGTGACGTGCGAAATACGTACCGCCGCCGCCGCCATCGCCATCGCCATCGATGGTCGTCGTGATAATCAATGGTTGTGGTCGATGGCGCATCATCCTATACTGTCTATATCAACAACGGCAAAATGGCCATTCCCCGCTCTCGCTCGTCGCGGCGATTCGCGCGCTGTAACAAAGCGCAGCGCTCGGCGAAGCGCTCGATAGCCGAAGATAATTATTGCTCCATTCTTACGCTCGCGGACACGCAGACACGCGCGGGGGCTCACCGCGCGTAATGGCGTTCCGCTTGATGGGCATCGACGAGGCGCGTAAAAGGCATGTTCTTAATTACGGAGCGTCCTGATGGTACAATTGCGTAATGTCTTTTCTCCCCCCCCCTCTCTCTCTCCCTTCCTATCGCTGCTTTTCCTTTTGTCCCTTCGCTCGCGCCGCGCCGAGACGCGTTCGCCGGTCGATCGAAAACGAAGAGGGAGGAAAGAACGGAGAGAAGAGGAGGAGGAGGAGGAGGAGGAGGAAGAAGAGGGATATTTTCGCATCACGCGCCGGCAACGATGAGCCGCTCTCGTGCGACTTCTAATTTCTCCACTTTATAATTCAGTTTTTCGCGAGACAAAAGCGCGCGCGGCGGAAGATTAATATGTTGACGCGTTGCCTCGCCTCGCCTCTCGCGGTATTGCCAATAAAAGTTATTGTTACTGCGAACGATGCTGCTAATTTAAATTTTCGCGTGTGCGCGATTGACGTTCGGCTGACGAGCGTCACGTTATTCATGAATTATGGATACAATTGAAGCGCGGAGCGCGCTTGATATCGCCGGAACGCGGCGCGCATCGCTTCGGCTTTCCCGCGTTCACATGGGGGGGGGGGGCAAGAGCGGAGAAGGGGAGGGGAGCGTTTCTACACTCGATTGTGCTAGGTCGAGGCTCTTGGCCGTTATCAACGTCGGCAGATAAGAACCTCGCTGGGTAATTAATGAATTAATGTCGCGGCTGATGAAATCAGCCGACGTCGGACGAGCCATTGAGTCGCCGTCGTCGTCGTCGTCGTCGTCGCGTCGACGAGTCTTTGGTTGCTTGGCGTTGGCGGGAGGGGAAAAGTTATGCGCGCGAAAATAAAGAGGCGGGAAAAAGCAGAGGTCGTGCCGGAGCGCGCGATATAATTAATTGAACAACAAATTATCGATTATTCGCGGATGTATTCTCTCTCTCTCTCTCTCTCTCTCTCAAGAGAGAGAGAGAGAGAGAGAGGGAGGGAGAGTGCGCAAAGTTCGAGCCGCGCGAGCGATACGCGATAGCGGCGCGATCTCCTGCGTCGCTAACGACACCGTTAATTACCGAAAGTTCGCGTCATCGTGGCTGCGGCGGATTATCGCCGAGAGAAGAGACGTAGTTTTCTCGCGTAACTCCGCCATTTATCGCGACGATCATAATATCCCACGACCGTCGGTCTAACGATCGGATCGGCGTCGTTTCGCCAGCCATTTCCTCCGCAACTGTGCGTGCGTGCGTGTGTATGTGTGTGCGTGTCTCGTGTTCTCTCGTGTGCAACGAGAGAGGGGGGCGGGGTCTCGGCGAGGAAATGAGCGCGAGTCGAAACGAGGCTCGCGAAATTCCGCGAGATACTTCTCGCTCGAGTTTCTGAAGATTAGAATAGCACCCGTCTCTCTTCTTGTCTCTTTTGGTCTCTCTCTCTCTCTCTCTCTCTCTCTCTCTCTCTCTCTCTCCCACTCTCACGTAATAATGTTACGCGAGGTTGCGCATCGCCTTGCACCGTCTTCGGTTCCCCCAGCAGTAATTCGGTTTATGGACTAACATTCGGATTATAGCTAGAAAGCGGTTACCCGATTAGAAATTTTAATCAGGTTCACCTAACATTGATAAGGACCTAATAGGGTGAATGAAAGGTAATCCTAAGTAAGTCAGTCCTTATAATGTCCTAACGACAAATGAGTAAGGAAGATCTTTATAAGGTTATAATGATTGGGTCCACTTTAGGATCTTAAGGTACCAACCTAGTGTATGATATAATATAGTACAGTTGATCAGGATCTTATTCATTGTACCTAATATGATTTTCATTATCAAGTTTTAACAAAACAATTTTTAGGTGTAATTTCCAAATATAAAGATGTTTGTATTGAGAAAACACTTCAGATCACTTGAATATATTTGTAAAATGCTATAGAAACTATCCTTTTCTTAACAGTCGATAAATAAAATTGTTGTAAAATTAACGTGACATGCAACTTTTCTCTTTAACGCTACTTTATGTCTTGTTATCTTGTGATACTTTATGGTCTTATGATATTCATTTTATGTTTCTTATCCGAAACATTTTACAAGTACGTTCAAGTGAACTAAAATATTATTTCATGCAAATAAATATCTTTTTATTTGGAAATGACACGAAAGAACTTTCAGCGTGTCATTTCTTATTTCTAATGTCATCATCCAATATAACCGTGGCGAGTAATCAGGAGCCATAATTTGAAAAAAGAAAAAACGTAATAAGGATTCCATAAGGTAACTCAATAAGAACCTGACTATGAATCCTTACTAAGGTCCTGATATCCACGCTGCGTTACTAGACTTACTAGGACCCGATAGTATTACCTTATTGGGATCTGATGTCCAAATGAGGTTAACCTGATCAGAACTATGGGATAAATTTCTAGTCCGGATAGATCTCAGCACAGAAACCCATTTTCCTCGATAGGCCTGCGTCGGGAACGACGTCGTCGCGTCCCTGCCAATTTCTTAATCGCACGCTCTGAACAAACAACTCGCCCCATTATATCCCTGTGCTGCATATCTCCCGTCGAAACAGACAGACAGAGAGAGAGAGAGAGAGAGAGAGAGAGCGGGGCGGAGCAGCTGTGCGCGTCAGTCGGGGACTTTCCGTGCTGAAAAATCGGAAAGCTCCAATCGTCGAACAAACGCGCCGGCGATGAACGCAATAACGAGCCACTCGTCGGCGGCGTGTTATCGTAACAATGATTGCCCCATAAAGAAGGAAAAGCGGCCGCGTTATGCTAAAACGATAGATACCCGCGGCGGAGTCGCTATCCACGTGTTGTCGGTAGTTTCGCAAGTGGCTCGTAAAACTTTTAAATCCCGACGTTTAAAGGGATATATACAAGCGCGTACTACTGTGCCGTACATCGCCTTTCTCTGTCTCTCTCTCTGTCTCTCTCTCTCTCTCTCTCTCTCTCTCTCTCTCTCTCTCTCTCTCTCTCTCTCTCTCTCTTTCTCTCTCTGAACGCACGCTCGCGCGCGCGCGTACGCGTTACGTACACGCGGCATCTCGTGTATGAAGCGTTTCGATCAGAGAGATATACACCGTTCGCGCTCGTCTGTCATATCGAGCACAATCTCCAGGCCGCCATCGTTACGCTCATGGACCGGCGCGGCGCAGCGCGGCGATGCGTCGCTGTAGCGTAGACGCGGTCGAATAGCGGCGACTTTGAAACGCGGCGACGCAACGCTAACATTGACTCGGCATTCATGCATTAGCGTGCGCCAGTGCAAACGCTCCGGCTACATTCATGTGTTTCCTTTCCCGCGGCGGACGCGATCGATTGCAAATATTACTTTGGTCAATTTCAGCCGGCAGTCTATTTACTTGTTTGTGGTATCACTTTGCTGCATCGATAGGGGAAAGTCGGCTGGGGTAGGGTGCGCAAGGTTGCACAGGAGAAACAGGGAGAGAAAGGACGTATACACAAAAAGGAGAGAGAGGGGGAGAGAGAGAGAGAGAGAGAGAGAGAGAATGCCGATGCGGACGGTGATATACGCTCGGCCGCGATGCGCCTTCGTGTATCGCACGCGCATGCGTGGCCCGGCAGGAATACCAGATTCAGCCACTTATCTCCCTCGACGTACCTTTCGACCAGTTAACCGTTACGATACGTATGACGGTGATGAATGATTCGGAATTAGTCTCAATTTCGGAGCGCTGCGAGTTACACGATGGCTTACGCAAGTATACGAGTGTGTTTCATTGATACTTTATTACCGCCGCGATAACGCGCGCGCGCGCTCCACATAAAAGCAGGGAGAAACAATTTGAGCGCCGGCTCGCGTAGCGACGTGTCTAACCTAACCTAACCTAACCTAACCTCTAACCTGATCTATCGTTGAAACGAACGACGCACCGGACACGTACCTTTCCGACTCGCCTGTACTCGTTGTTTCTCATTGTTTCTCCCTCAATTGATCCGGTACCGGTGCACGCGCGCGCGATTTCCGATGTCAGGTTTCGCGATGCGCGATCGTTCTCGATCGGAGCGCCCCACTCGCTGCAATCACAAAGTTATACGGTACGCTGTTACGGGGCACGCCTGTGTCGTCTCTCATCTTCCTGGGATTTCTTCCGACGGAACTCACGTTCGATTAAGAGAATCTCAGTCTGCTTATTCCCTCGGCGATCCGCCCATTCAGCGTGAGCAACGTCATCCGGAACTGTGCTGCGCGCACTCGCGACGCGGCGCGGCGCTATCGCGCCAAATAAGATTACGAGCGCTCGAATCCGTTACGCCACACTTCGCCGCGCGAGCGAGCGAGAGAGAATACAATTTCGGAAACGAGCGTGCGGCTCGCTCCATTCCGTTGTCGCCGAGTTTAATCGGAATACTCGAGTATGCACAAGTGCATGCGAATGCCGAGAGAGAGAGGGGGGGGGAGGGGGGAGCGACAAACGAGCTCGGCGCGCTCGAGATACTCGTTAATAGCCGCGTGTTCGCATCTTAATAAACCGATCGGCCGGCCGTTGATGTAAGAACAAGCCAGCGCGCAACCGCTCGACTCCGCTATTAATGACGCAATGTATTTCTGTGTTTCAGGTGCGATGGAGTCTCGTGGAGCCGGCTTCTACTATGAGTTGAGGCTTCGTAATTAATCGTGAGTACACGAGAGTGGTCCCTAGCTTCTCCAATACACACGTGCGTGCGTGCGTGCGTGCGTGCGTACGCGAGAGTAATGGCGAACGAGCGCAGCGCGCGAGATCGTTAAGCGATGCGCATGTACGTCGCGGTGAGATCGTGTACATATGTAATCCCCCGCTAAATTGCAAATTTAATACCGTGAATTTTATCGCGGACGTGCGGTCGAGCGCGCGCTCGCGCACAATTGCGCTTCCTTTATTTCGTGCGCTCTCGGCATTCGATCGCGTTAATCGCGTTCGCGCTCTCGTTCTCGCAGCTTATTAATAACGCGTTGCTACTTTCACCCCTCTCTTTCTCTCTCTCTCTCTCTCTCTCTCTCTCTCTCTCTCTCTCTCTCTCTCTCTCTCTCTCTCTCTCTCTCTGTCTTTCCGTCGTAGAAAATGGAGCGGCCGCAGGCGGTTTTCGCAAGCGGCGCTACATATCCGATCGCTGATCTCTCTCTCTCTCTCTCTCTCTCTCTCTCTCTCTCACGCGCGATCTGCGCGCTGATAGGTCGGCGAGTGCGTCGAGATTTAGCGTCGCACTTATTATTTCACTTATCGGCTTTTCTATTTTTACGACGGCGCGCGTCGCTCGTTTGTTTACGCCGTGTCGCCGTTCGACTCGCAAGCGTCTCGCAAAATAACGCTCCTTTCGATAATAACTCTCCTGCGTGCCTGTGTTGTGTAGCGTTGTATGAAACGAATCGGACGCGTACGCTTGCGTCCTGCGGGAGGGAGAAAGGGAGATTCGACTCCGTCTTCATTAAGTCCTGTCAACTTGAACCGTCGACGACACGCGGATCCTCTCGCTCTCCTCTTTTTCTTTATTTGCTAGTCGCGCGCGCGCGTGCGCGTGAATTCCGAAGCGGCGTGAATTATTTCGCACGACGCACATCGTTCTCGTTATCGGCGCAGGCGCGGGAATACTCCGAAGGGATCTCTCGTAGAATCCCGAGTGTTTCGCCCGGAGGATACTTCCGCCCGCGTTCTACCACGGGGAGAGAGGGGCAAGGGATGGGCGAGCCGGGCAGCGTCACGTTTATTGCGAAATAAAGAATCGCTTAAGCGCTCAATATCACTTAATTTCGCAATCACTTCGAATCCGACACGCTGCGCGGAAAACAGGGGCGGCAGCAGCGGCGGTTTTTACCGTAGGCGTCGACATCCTCGAGAGAGATTACGCCGCTCGCCCGGCACATTTCTTCGTATCGATCGGCCCGCGAATACTCCCACATAATTCGCTTATTACAGCTTCCGCGTATCTCCGCGTTTTCCCCACGGCATTCCCGACTTCGTGGAAAAAAAAGTGCGCGCGCCCGGAAGAGAGAGAGAGAGAGAGAGAGAGAGAGAGAGAGAGAGAGAGAGAGAGAGAGAGAGAGAGAGAGAGAGAGAGAGGAGAAGCCTACACACACACACACACACACACACACAAACATAGTTCGTGTCCGCCGTCCGTTCGTCTGTCTGTCTATCCGTCCGCGCGCCAGTTCGCTCCTGTACGCGAACGGCGTTTTCTCGTTTCTCGTGCGCGCGCGAATACCGCCGCTATAATTGCAGCCGATGCGACGTATGTACGTGGCATGACGCCCGGTCGCCCCGTTGCGTACGTGCGCTCGTGTGTACGTATGCGAATGTGCACGTGTTCCCCGGCATCCGTGCGCGCGCGCTCATATGTAGGTGCGCGCACGTGTGTGCGTTGGCGCGCGCGTGGGGAAGTCCCCGTTAACGGCGTTGTAACGTTCATGCAACCGTCGTATTCGCGTTGGCTGGAGAAAGAGAGATAGATATAGAATATATATATATATTCTATATATATATGTATAGGAAGTGAAAGAGGGAGAGAGAGGAGGAGAGAAGAGAGCGAGGGGGAGGGAATGGCGACAGGAGGGGAGAGAGAGAGGGGGGAGGGGAATGGCGACAGTGAGGGGGAGAGAGAGAGAGAGAGAGAGAGAGAGAGAGAGAGAGAACGACACCGAGTAGTCGAGGGATGGTTTTGCTCTGCTGGCTCTGTATTGATTGCTGTGCTGCTCCTCCACCTCTACCACCTCTCTTGCGACGATCTCTCTCTCCATCTCGCTCTAGTGCTCCCTCTTTCTCCGGCTCGGGCGCTCCTGTACCCCGATCCCGTCCGCACACCAACGCGCGCGCGGCCCCGTAATGTCGGCTCGCTCTGCGAAACCATCAAGATCCGAGGTCCTCGTTGCGCTACGCCACGCTACAGCACAGCACAGCACACCACACCACACCACGCCATGCCGTGCCGTGCCACGCCGCACCGCCGCCGCCGCGCGTATCTTCCCTCGAAACGCCCCGGCGAGAAGAGTCCGCCTGTAATTGACGCAGATAGGAGAGTACCATCTGCTCTGCGGCACGAACGAAGCGCGACGGGTCGGGTCGGGACGGGCGGCGACGGGGGACGGGGAATGCGCGTAATGCCGTCCTCGGCGACGTGTTCCATGTAAGGATTCATTGAATGGGAAACGAAGCTCGACCGCGAGCGAGCGAGCGAATGAGCCGTTCTTCGTGACGTCGTCGGACGACGACGACGACGACGACGACGACGACGACGAAGCGGAGGAGGAGGAGGACACGACACTTCGCGTTCTGCGTTCTCGAATCCCGTCGTGTCGCGTGTCGGTCTCGGCCAACCCAGCCGAGCGCGTCGGGTTGTACCTTGTCTTGGGCTTTTCGTACGTTCCACCGCGTATTCGTATTCGTCCCGTAAGAACGCTCACCGATCGCACGACACTTTCCGGGATTCACGCGTACGTTCGCTCGCACAATGAAACCTGTACGTCTGCTCGGTGCGGGTACTCTGCCGGATAAGTGGCTCCGCGCAAGATGCCGGGCGGGGGGGGGGGTTGAATACTAATAATACTTTGGAAACTCGATTAGATCCAAGCACCATATAATCCGGTTAATGACGGTATAATTCAGCTACAGGTGTGCTTGCACGGGGTTTCTTCTTTATCGAGTTACCTCGCCGTCGAAGTTGCGCTAAATCTGATTTCGTCGTGTCCGTGAAATTCGCTGCTATCTCACGTGTTACGGTAATCTTAGCGTCGATTGTCACCCATCACAGCCGCTCGGATCCGTACGTTCGCGAGGTGGTGATACACGTTAAGCCGCAATTTACGCGCGTCTCTCCCTCTCTCCTTCTCCCTTCCTCCTTGCCCCCACCCCCTCCCCCTTCCTTTCTCTTTCCCTTCCCTTTTACGCTCGCGTCTTTCGTATCGTCCTCGGTATATATCGAAACGAAATTTCAGCTGGCCAAATATTATGCATTCGCATATATCCGGTTTCATTACGGTAATTAACGGAGATTGCGATAGTCTCGCTGCAAATTGGCGTTCTATTTAAATTCGCTAATTACTGTTGCGGCACGACGACGACGAGAGAGAGAGAGAGGGAGGGAGGGAGAGAGAGAGAGAGAGAGAGAGAGAGAGAGAGAGAGAGAGAGAGAGAGAACGCGTACTATCGCGCCGCCGCGATGAAAACGATCGTGTTACGAGGCGCGCATGTGTGCTTTTCTTTCGAACGCGAGGGATCGGGTATAATTAACGCATATGGAAGCGCTATCTGATGCGGCACAGTGACATCGATGCGTCGAAGCTCGCGAGTGCCGCGCGTAATTACGCCTCGTTGTCGCTGTGCGCGCACGTGCGCGCTCTAAGGATGTCGAGTCGAGTTTACCCGGGGAATTGCCCCGACTTTCCTTCACGGCCAAAAAAAGGTCACCGTCATCGTCGTCGACAATCGCAAACAATAACGTCAGCTTTCAGTTTTGAGCCGGGCAGGAGGGGGGGAGGGATGTCACGCCAAATCGGAACGGACTGAGTCGATTAAGCGAGAGTCATTTCGGGAGGGGGCAAGGGGCGGAAGACTCCATTTGCGCTTCGAAATTGGAATAACAAGCGTCATTCTGTCCCTTGGAAGGACAAAGAGGGAAATAGACGGACGCAAATGTCACTCGTTCAGACAGAAGAACTCGCTAGGTCTCCTCTGTCGTCGCGAGCTCGTCGCAGAAATACACCCTCGCGATATTTTAATTCCGGGCCGCAAATATCGTTCGGCCGACATATGACAGACGACGACGTACTTAATATGCAAGTATACGTGCCGCGCGCTCGAATAAGGAATTATAGCGTGCGCGGGGGAAGAGAAAGAGTGGGAGAAGGTAGGGCGAGAAAAATGGTATAAAATATACATCGTTTTATAAATAATTTCACTGCCGCCGCATTCTCCTGGATCTTTCGGCATACATACCTGAGCGAGTGCTGGGGGGAATACGAGGTATAGCTTGTCGCGCATTTCAATCTCTTTTTAACGATAATACGGAATAACAACAGAACGCATTCGTATCAATCATTATCGAGCATCTTTCTTTCATTTCGATTCCGCGAAAAAAATTAGAGTCTCGGGGCAATGCTCTCTATTTATTTCTCTACTTCCCCCCCTCTCCTCCCTTTCTCGCCCTTCCTCCCTCTCTCTCTCTCTCTCTCTCTCTCTCTCTCTCTCTCTCTCTCTCTCTATCCGAGAATCATCATCCGATTTGTTTGCTATTTAAACATAAACCGACGCTCACGACGCGACGATGCACATCCTCGGGATTAATATAGACGAGATATCCGGCGGGGAAGCGCGAGCGAGCGAGCGAGCGCAGGAATAAACGCGATAAATCGAAATGGAGCGCATCTCTCGAACAAACGGCGTGCGTTTTCTTTCGCGTCGCGGGGCCGCCGCGTCTCTGCAGCACCAGCACTACCACCGACACCAACACCGCCAAGCACCAGCAGCGGCAGCGGCAGCGGGCAGCACGAGCCCGACCTGGCACCGCCGACTTTTTCCCGGCCGAAGGAAAGGAGCGACGTAATACCGGTCGAGAAATCGATGGTCGACCGTGTCTCTCTTCTTCCTTTTGCTCTCTCTCTCTCTCTCTCTCTCTCTCTCTCGCTTCGCCGCCCGCCCCCGCCGTTCCCTTGCGCTCGAGGCGGCCGACCCTCGCGCCCTTCTCTCGGCCCCGTTCCTCGTCCTGCCGCTTCCTCCGCCAATTTACGAGCATCTCCAAGTGCGCGCTCGCCTAGCTGAGGAGAAACCGGGCGGCGGCGTCGCTGACTCGCCCGGATATCCCGGACGCCACGCTCGCGACGATGACGACGACGACGACCAGTCGGGAATAGGACTCCTCGCGTCCGACATTACACACCTCGATATTACGCAAGCGTATCGACATTCTCTCCTCGACACGTATCCCTTTTAGAATCGTCGTAATCCCAGCCCGATAGCAGTTAGGCATCGATCAGGTAACCGCCGGTGGTAGGAATTATCCGTGGCTCATTCGCGCGAAGGACAAACATTTCTTCCCTCGACGGCGCGATATACATCCTCACATCCGCGCGATATCCTTTGTGTCGAAAGCGCGAGAGGCTTTCCGGGTATTCCGAAGCGCCCCTAGTTAAGAGTTGTTCGCGATTCACATAGTAAGGAAACTATCACGGAGAGACAGAGAGAGAGAGAGAGAGAGAGAGAGAGAGAGAGAGAGAGAGAGAGAGAGAGGATCAGAGCCAGTCGCCGCTGCCGCGGCGATAATTGCGCGCTCGGCCGGCGTTATTCGGCTCGCCCGGGAGACACGCGTCTAATTATACGCTCGTCGGATGGAGATGATAATTTCGACCGCGGTTTCTGATACCTCAGAATCCCCGCGTGCTTCACGCGCGCCGTCGCGAACTGTGAAAGAGCGGGGCTGCGTCGTGGTCGTCGGGATCGTAGAACGGATATTAGAGCAGACCGAGTGCGCAACTCGCAGTCGGTCATTTTTCCTCAATTAGTATTGTACCGAGATAAATGTCCAAGGGAGGTACAGAGAGAGAGAGAGAGAGAGAGAGAGAGAAGGAGAAAGAGAGAGAGAGAGAGAGAGAGAGAGAGAGAGAGAGAGAGAGAGAGAGAGAGAGAGAGAGAGAGAGAGAGAGAGAGAGAGAGAGAGAGAAATACTCGCTGGGCGATAGTTTTCACTCGTTTCGTCAGGGGTCCGCTGTTCTTTATCGGCAGGCAAAGTAGCAGGGTGCGATAGCGGGAGATATTGAAAGGACGTTTCTCCGTCATAGAGTCAGTCGGAGAATAATTTCCGCCGGTAGACGGCTCCTACGCGCGGCTTCTTTTGTCAATTAGAAGCGAAAGGCTTCGCGCGCGACATCGTCATTCACCAGGCTGAAAGCGCAGTAAAAGCCATTGCGCGCGCGAGAGAGAGAGAGAGAGAGAGAGAGAGAGAGAGAGAGAGAGAGAGAGAGAGAGAGAGAGAGAGAGAGAGAGAGAAAGTATGTGTGTGTGCGTGTGTGCGCGTTCCTTTTCTCGCCCCCCCCCCCCTCGCCCCGCGCCTTAGCTGTGTTCTGGTAAAATAATCGCGGACACTCCGTGAACATTGCTCTGTTGCGCCGTCGCGATAATTGTTCGCTGCAACGCGAATCTCGCGGCCGCGCGCTCGAGATGATCAATAAGTATCGAGTCCGTCGCGAGACGACAGTTGCTCGATCGAATCGAAGAGACACTATCGCGTTTCTCTCAGCGGTGACGAGACGAGAGAGAGAGAGAGAGAGAGAGAGAGAGAGAGAGAGAGAGAGAGAGAGAGAGAGAGAGAGAGAGAGAAGTGGGGGAGGAGAAAAAGAGAGACCGGGAGATCGCGCCATTCCGAGTATACCGTCGGATGTTATACGTCGAGTGAATACTGAATCCATTAATCAGTTCTCAAGGTGTTGACCGTTCGCATGTCTTAGCGTATATTTAAAAGTGGATGAAGAGCGTCTCTTGCACGCGCGAGCGAGCGCAATATAATCCTCTTAGAGGGCTTGTACTTAAAAACGCGAAGCCGCGAAGAAAGAAGCGCGGGGAACGGGCAAACGTGCGGCTTAGAAATCTCGCGGAAACGTTCAAATCGGATTATCCCGCTTTCTCTCTAGCCCTCTCTTTTCTCCGCTCTTTACCGCGCGATATTGCTCAATATTAAATATTTGTATTATCGCTTTTTACCGGCCATTAGTCAAACCAAACTGGCGCGTAGGATTGTCGCTTATCGTCGCGCTCGTCACGCGAAATCGACCGGACCGCGCGAACATAAAAATCCCGCCGTTCCCAGCGAACTCTTCAGCGAAACTCCACGAACATCCCGTTGCACGGGCGGAGTCCCTCTCGTAAATTTCGACGGGGCGCAAAGTACGTTTTGAGCGTTTTCAGCCTTTCCTATTCGTTTCGCGCTCGCTCCAGCGGCCGACGCGAAAATTCTATTTCCGAGCGAGCCGCGACATCGATTCGTCGGGCGCGAGCGCGCGCGCGCGGATTCTTCCGTCCGAGGACGGCGCCGAGGAGGGTAGAGCCGGCGGCTCTACGGCGGCGCACGCAGCTGGCAGTAGGAACTAGGCTTTAGGAACTAACGAGTTAATAACGGTAAATGCCGTTTCAGCGCGAATTCCACTCGGTAGCGGATAGTAACGCGAGAATCCGCTTGTCGCCGGCGATACACTTGCGCGCACGCGCTCTCTTTTCAAAGAGAGCGAGAGAACGGGCAGGAGGGAGGGAGAGATGCGTTAAAACGCGTAATTCAACACCCTTGACGCGTTGTGTGTGAGAGCGCGCGTTGTCGCGGCTAAAATACGCACGTTGTCAAACAAAACGCCGAAAGGCAAGGTTCGATGAAAAATCACCTCGCTCGCGAATTAATTAACGCGATCGCGCGGCGATAATTTTGTCCGTGTCCGACGCGCGCGCGCAATCATACGCTCTCTCGCGTGTGCGGCTATGATAACTATGCTGGTTGTGCGATAATAGCGGCGCCGCACTGCCGCTGGTGCCGCGTCTAGCCTAGTATCAGCCTAACCTAACCTAACCTAACCTAACCCAACCCAACCCAACCTAACCTAACAGAACATTGTAACGATGTATATTTATACAACAGCTGGCGGCAAGGGAGGGGAGTGCGCCAGTCAGCTGATTGAAGCGCTGGAGGGGAAACGGTGGAGGGGAGAACGACCTTTATTTAAAGCGCCGGAGAGAAGCCTTTCTTCGACTGGTAAACAGTCGTCGAATGCAAATGCGAGCGGGCTGCGCTCCTCGTATGCGTCGCACGCGTGCGTGCGTACGTACGTGTTTTTGTGTGCGCGCGTACACACGCACGTGTACGCGTTCTCACGCACATGTGCGTGCGTGCGGGCGTGCCTGTCTATTCTAGAGATTAATAAACAGCATTTCCTACAAGAGTCGCCGGTGTCTGCGATCGCGCGACGCGCTTAATTGTCGTAATTAGGTGAAAGAGCGGTTGGCCTCTCCCGGCGGCGGCGACAATGCCGCTTCGCGTCGCGGATCGTTGCGCAAAGAAAACGAGAGAAACGAGTCCCGGCTACTTCGAGGGCCACTCTCGTTAACGCGAACGTGCGAGGAAGCGTTTAATTGTTCCTTGCGATTTATACGAGAGAGGGAGAGAGAGAGAGAGAGAGGAACATCACCAGCGAAATTTCATCCGCCCACTTCGCGCAGAATTGAGTGTATTTGCGTTCGGTCACCCTCTCTCATTCTCGCCTCCCTACCCCCTCCTCCCTCACCCCGTAGTCGGTCGATAAAGCACCCGGCGGTCTTCCTCTTTTTCCTTTTCTACCCGCCTTCTTCGTCGTCGTCGTCGTCTTCGTCTTCTTCTTCTTCTTCTTCTTTTTCTTTTCTCTTCTCTTCTCTCTTCTCTCCCTCCCGAGTGATAATCCCCGCGTCGTCGGGGCAGCACCTCAGCGGGAGGAAAAATTACGCCGGCCGCGTGCGCCCTCGGCACCGAAAATCTCGAGGAGGAAGCGCCGCGCCGGAACGGCGCGGCTCCGTCGTAAATATCGCGCCGCGGCGATTCCTCGCTAAACCTGTTCTACCTACCTCCTTCTCCCTCCTCTCTCCTCTCTCCTCTCCTCTCTCCTCTCTCTCTCTCTTCTCGTCCCGTCTCACCGCCGCGTTTTTCGACTCGCGGTGCAGATAAAGAACGGCGGCGAAGAGAAAGAGGGAAAGAGAGGGGGGCAGCGAGAGAGAGAGAGAGAGAGAGGCCTTGGCTGGCGGCGCGGCGTTGCGCTCCGTGAGAGTTAACCTCTGTAACGAAACCATGGGCGATGTGCGTTTTCAGGGGACTGGCATGGAGAAGGAGAACTCCGCATCGGGCGGAGGCGGCGGGGGCGGCGGGGGTGGCGGAGCTGAAGCAGCGGCCGCGGCGACTCCGGGCGCCACCTCCACCTCCGAGAAACTCCAGGCGGACCAGGCCAATCCGTTGCTCGATCCAACTGCGCTCTTCGGCGGTAAGTCATTTTCGCTCCTTTCGTTTCTCCTCCCGTTCATTTTTTTTCTTTTTTCCCTCGTTTTTCCCCCTTTTTACTCCTCCTCCCTCGCCACCCCTCCGTCGCACTCGCGCGCGACGCGTCGCGATAAGGCGACGTCGTTATGCGAAAACAGTGCGACGGAGAAAAAGAGAGACAGAGAAAGAGAGAAGAAGGAGGAGGAGGATAAGTCAGATATAAGATAAGTCAGAGAAAGGATTCCGATAATAGGAATTCGCGCTTTTCCGAGTCCTCTAATGCTCGCCCTTTCTTTTCTCTCGCTCTCTCTCTCTCTCTCTCTCTTTTTCATTATCACTCGCGCTTTATCTATCCGTCGACAAAATTAGCCGTATTCCTCGTCGGTGTCGGCGTCGCCTCCCCACGGCGGTGCGATGCGATCATCACCGAAAGGACGACGGGGAGGACGATTATCTCGCGGCTAACTTTGTCTGACAGTTAATTATAAGGCGGCGAAATAGGCGAAAACACACAGCAGCGTGGAAGCGTATCGCGCGGGGCCGGTTCTGCGAAACAGTTCCAGTTCAAGAGCGAGCCGAGAGTACAATACGTTCGAGATGCAACAAATAAGCGGCGTATTCGATCACCGCGCCGACGCATAACGCAACACAATAGCGTTAGCCGTTCGTTAACTAACGATTTCGTTTGTACCTCGACAACGGTCTCTCGCCTCCTCTCCTCCGCGTCGTAGATGATTCCGTTGCCGTCGACAACTCTCCGCCGGATTTTTTCTCCCCCTCCCCCCGTTGCGCTCCATCAGCCCCCTTTTTTTATTCATCTGGCCGCTGACGCGAGCGCGAGCGAACGAACGAACGAACGAACGCGACCAGAAACACAGCGGCTTTATTTGATCCGCGCGATCATGCGCGATATTGTTTAGACGAAACAGGCAAATATTTTCCGTACACCGGCAGCGGCGCGGCGATTCGCGCGCCGTGCGCGTGCGCGTGCGCTCCGTGTTTTGCGCTCGGGGTATGCGCAAGTTCGGGCGACACAATATTTGCCGGGGTGAGAGTTATGATGCTTGTTCACGAGGAAACTTGCCGCCCCGGCTACTCCGATTTCGGTCGTCGAGGCACGTTTCCTCGGATTCGATCGCCGACGGCTTCGGATGAGACCAGGTCGCGGGTGCACGCAAGCAAGTTGAGTACAAACCGGGGAGAATTCGACGCGGCGGGAGAAACCTTGGAAAAGTGCGGAAAATCTCGCTAACGGTCACCGCGTCCGTCATCCGGCTCCATCGTCCTCGTATCACCTACACGTCACGTGATGCTGGGACCGGGAATAATCGGAGGCGTATCGATTGAGTCTTAAAGTGTGCCGCGACATTCTTCCTTGCTTGCGACGTCACGGTTCTTCCCTGCCAAAAGGGGCTCGTCGAGAACTCACGCGCTTCAACGTCGACGCGTAGCCCGCCCCCTTCTCCGCCCTCCACTCTATTGTCTACGCTACATGCGATTATCGCTAATTCTTCATTATTGATCATTCTAAATAATTAAAAAGTTTAGAATTATATATATGTTCTAAAGTTTTAAATTATTGTATATATATTTACTTATATATTTAAATTATTATATATAATTATATATATATATATATATATATATTCTAAATTTTATATATTTTTATAACTTTAGTATAATTTTATATGAATGCTCTTTGATTTAAAATCAGTATAAAAGCAGTATAAAAGGACTATTCAGAACCTATGCACAGGTCGTATCGCGGTGTCATAAATCAAACGAACATGAAAAGTAACAAGTAACACAAGAGTTTACGAGACCGATTGTTTCATCGGTGAATCTCGCCCGCATTCTACCGCTACGACGATGAGAGAGCTTTTGAGAGGAGAGACCACCGTCTCCTGGACTCGCCCGGCGAATAAATCTCCCGCGATTGACAGCGGCATCGCGCGCCGATGAGATACTTCTCGCGAAGGGAGAGAGACTCGCGCTCTCTCCCACGTACCGCGTCGGTACAAGTGCGCTCGTTGCACTCGCTGGCGATTTACATGGTCACTCGAAAGCCGGCCGCGGTACAAAGTGGGCCCAATACGCTGGCGCGCGTCAACGCGATATATCAGCGCTGCTTTAACGAGCGGAGGGCCTTTCCCCTCTTCCCTCTCTGCGTGTTTCGCTCTCTCTCTCTCTCTCCCCCCTCCCTCTCTCTCTCTCTCTCTCTCTTTCTCTCTCTCCCTACCTCCCGCCCGCTCTGTCCTTCCCTTCCTCCCACCCTTCCTCTTTTGCTTTGTCCCGAAATCAATTAGTCCCGCGCGCACATCGCTCCCAGCCTTTCTCTCCTTCCAAGGTTATCAAGGCTCCTTCCGTCGAGAGCTCGCTCGCTCGCTCGCTCGTTCGCGCTCGTGCGACTCTCTCGACCGCTTCCCCGCGACAAAGGAGAAGAGAGAAGTCTCGCGCGCATCGCGCGCTTTTCGACCCGCGACGTCTACTCTAGGAATATCGGCGCCTGCAGCGAGACTTTTCGATACTTGCGCGTTCGTTGACTTTGCTAAAAGTTGCGTTCGAGTGCGGAGAAATGGAATCGATTGATGAGTTGAGAGAGACTCTCTGGCCGATTCTTTGTAGCATGCTTAATTCTTGGTCCTCGATGCGGCACGACTCTCTCTCTCTCTCTCTCTCTCTCTCTCTCTCTCCCCCCCCTCTTTCTCGTTTCTATTGCCGCCGATTGTTAAATTCGAACTTTCGTCTAGCTTCACGACGTCTGATCGCAAAGTGTCGACCATCGCGCGGGTACTAGCGTTATCGCGAGCATTCTCTCGCTCGTCGGCCGTTCAAAGGGTAAAGATCGTCGGGAGAAAAAGCCGGGGGAGGGCGCGTTACATCGCACGATCGTCGGGAATAAATCGCAGTCGTTACGTTCACCAATGTGAGCGGTGCCACTATAATGGCCGACGATAACTGTGATTCTTCTCACAATAGATAATGACGGTACTCGGCGACGTATAGTAGTGAGTCGCGGACAACTATATTATAGAGTCGCTCCCCGAGTAGTATCTACGAAGGGCCGCGCGTTCACGCGTCAGGTTAAATTATCGGTGTACACCGCGGAGACGGGGTTGAGACAACCGGTCGGGTTTCACGCATTCCTCTGTATTTTTCGACTCGTCTCTCGATAATATCCCGCGAGCTCGGTCGAAAGTTCCGCAGCTTTCGTCGTCTCTCGGCTGGGTCGCCGAGGAGAGAGAGAGGGTGCGCTGGTGTGGCAGCTCCTCGAGATCTCCGTCGCTCTCGACGGGACTTCGTTTATTTCGTCGCTTCACCTTCGACCTACCGTCGTCGTCCCTCTTCGTGTTTCCTGAACCGCCACCGAGTCCTATTCCCCCCCCCCTTCCCCCGTCCTCGGCGCATCGTCTTTCTCGCGTGCCTTGCCGAGCGGCATCTTTCGCCCTCTCTTCCCCTCTGCCCCGAGTACCCTGCCCACCGTCGCGCGTTTTCTGTCTTTCTCATCCTCCTTCACCCCTCCTGCCCTCTCGAGGCGGGTTTCCTGTCCATCTCTCTTGCCATCCGTCTCCGTCTTCGCCGGCGACTTCTTTCGCCGACGTGCTCTCGCTCGCACCGCTGCCTGGCGCGCCGCTTTTTCTCCGTTCTCGCTCCGAGTTTAGGTCCGTAGGGCTTTGGGGACGCAAGAACGAACGAACGAACGAGCGAGCGAGCGAACGGACAGACGAACGGACGAACAGACGCAACCAGCGAGGCGCTTCTCTCTCTCTCTCTCTCTCTCTCTCTCTGTCTCTCTCTCTCTTTTTCTCTCTTTTTGTCGTTCTCAGCCGCTCTCCCGGTGGGTCGCCGATTGCTCGCTCGCTCGCACGTTCGCTCGTTCGTTCGTTCGTTCGTTCGTTCGTTCGTTCGCTCGCTCGCTCGGCCGCCCTCTCCGTCTCCCTCGCTCTTCGCCGGTTCTGTATATTTATTGATTGCCACCTCACCTCGCCTACCACGGCAGACCGAGGTCTGCGGCAGTTTCCCCACCCCTCGCGTTCCTCGTTTCCCTCGTCCCAGCCTCATTCTGCAGCAGCATCGCGCTACGAGGAGAGCCTCTGTCCCTCTTTCTCGCTCTCTTTCCACGCTATCACGCTCCATGCGCGCCCCTTCTTCCTCCCCCTCCCTCCTGTCCTGCCTCTCATTCTCTCTTTCTTTTGACCATCCCTCTCTCTCTCTCTCTCTCTCTCTCTCTCTCTCTCTCTCTCTCTCTCTCTCATTCGCTCGTCGACCCACTCTGCGTCCTGCTTCATTCGAAGCTTCGTTCGCTTTCTCTGTCTTTCCCCCTCTGCCCCCTTCTCTCTTTCTCTCTGTCGCTCTTGGCCCTCTCTCGCACGCTGTCCTGCCTCCGTCCTCATCTCACTCTCTCCCTCTGCCTCTCTCTCTCTCTCTCTCTCTCTCTCTCTCTCTCTCTCTCTCTCTCTCTCTCTCTCTCTCTCTCTCTCTCTCTCTTGCCGACTCTCCGCAGCCCCGTGGTGCTTTTACCTCCTACGCTCGATACAAACTCGTTGGACGCGGCGGAGTTTTCGTTTGAAGCTACCATCCGGGGCTCGCGATATATATCCCACACCCATCCGCCGTCGCGCTGCTTCCTCGTCTTGACGTCGACGTCGACGTCGACCTCTCGGCGTCGTTATATCTCGGCAGGCGGGATGACTCGCGGCAGAGCGCGCGCGCGACGAGAGTGCACCCCAGATGAGACGCCGTCATTTAGGCAAAGTAGGGAAACGACGAGGTCTATGCGGGTAAATGATACTTGCCCGTTTCCCTCGTTGCCTGCATTCCCTCTCGCGTCCCGTTATCTCTCCCCCCCCCCCCCTCTTGCCCCCTCTCCTTCTCTTTCCACGGCTTTCCACGGCAGCGCGAGGGTGTTCTCCAGCGTTATCTCCCGAATGCAATTAGTCACGATAAGATGAGATAGATCTATGCGCGCGTTGAGAACTCTCCTCTGCGCGTACGAGTGACGAG